CAGAAGAGCTTGCCGACACATATTTGCAGCTTAGCCCCGATGCTCAAATTCACCTTGAAAAGTTCAGAGAATTCCTACAAAAATATTATACTGCAAAGCTTGGATCCTATCCATCGTTGGCGTCGAGATCAGGAAGTGGAGCTTTCTCCAAGAGTCTCTTTAAGCAAATGCGATCCGAATTTCAGAAATTGTATGAGTTTCTAGCGGACTCAAGTGTGACGACCACAGGAACTACAAGCACTAGTAACGAAGAATTAGATGTACTTCGTGCAGTCATGATATTCAACAGGCAATATCAGATCGAACCATTGCCCTATTCTCTACCACTGCTTCCAGATGATAATGCGAAACCATCCAAACCATTAAGCAAAAGACTCACTTTTACGACGAAAATATTTCCGAAAAGTGATAAAAATCACAATGATTCCGGCATGAATTCAATGGGCGCTCTCGACAAGGCCACAAATCGACAGAACCTGCGACTAACTGACTGTACGCTTGTTCGTGCATACCGTGGCTTTGAAAAAGAATGTGCCGCCCAGGCCAGTTCCAAGATGGCAACAGCGGAAAAGATCTCCCAGGCGGAAGGCCGCAAGATTCGTTGGATTTTGATCTATTCTTCTCTTCAAATACTTATTCAAGCGACAAGGGTACCAGATCAAGTGCGCGCTACCCAAAATGTAGCTTATAACATTTCCATTCGCATTGGAGAATGTCCACCGTGGAATGACCGACGTTCGTGTTATAATTTGATTCGCACGCAAAGTGCTCAAGCAAACAGAGACTACCGAAACTCCCTAATCAGGTCGAACCCTTCTACTGCTGGACAAACACCAATTGATGTCATAGCTGCTTTCAATGATTATCTCGCCCAGAGAAAGCAATCTGCTCTGTCGCGAAGGACCGAAAGTGCAATCGATACCACATTATCAATCAAGAGCATAATTGCAAAAGCCAATGCCGGTGATGCCTTGACGATAATGCCGGAACTTCAACATCCCAGCCCGCGAAGAAACACACATCATGAAATATTAATCGAGGGATATGGTCATGGCTTGGAGGACGGCCCTGCCGATGGTCCAATGACGAAAGATACTAAGGAAGAATATGATTTCTACAGAAAACAATCATCGTCTACCACTTCATCGATCGACGTATCATCACAATGGTCTCGCTCCTCACACGATCAAGAAGGGACAAATTTTGAGGCTTCTGATGTTGATTCCCCGAGAACGAGCGGTTCATTTACATCTGACGATCGTCGAGGTTCAATTTCTTCAGTCTATTCAGAAGCCGAATCGCTGGAACAGCCCTTTCCATTTGAACAATTGCACAAGCCAAGGCCAGTCAGCGCATACTCTGTGAGTATATACGAAGAGGATTTGATAGCAGGAGGGATTCTACCTGATCCATTATTCTCACCAAGAACTCTCGGAAAAAAGCAGGTAGGACCTCCGCCTCTCTTCATCTCGAAGCCTACACAAAGGAGAGTAAGTATCTTGAGTCAAAAGCTTGACAAGCATGCCAGCGTTGGTAGCATAATGGTGATGAATGAGGAATTGGCTGCTTATCTCAAGGATTGAGCCTGACTGGTGATTGATATTGAATATTTTCTTTTGGCTGTTGGAATACCCAAGCACACTTTTTTAAACACTTGTTACGGCTGTTGGGTTCTGAGGGCTTGCGTATCAAAGGTGGAGTTCCTGGGAGGTCAAAATAGACACTGCTCGGTTTGAAGCCTTGCATTCTGAATATGTCGTATAATTTTAATGTAATTAAAATATTTCATTCAAAAATTCCTAACCATGTTCTTCGGTGCAAGATTTGCTTGAGAGATATCACAGATTTGTTCAAGTAGGATTGTTGAGACGTCATCCTGTGATACATATGAGAAACATAGCGTGATTAGAGTATTCGAGTTGCCCTCTCATGCTTGACAGAAATAACATGATCTTCATGAGTAACATGAGTAATATGTTAGCTCTTTCCTCTTGCCTCATCATCGGAATATTGATCCCCCGATCCCCTGTCCAACGACAATGCACTTAGTTTGAGAGCATCGGGACTTGCTATGGTATAGTAAGAAACAATAGGAATGAATAGGTATATCATTCGGGAAATTCTATATATTCAGCCAGATTCCTAGACTCCTTTCGCCGATGCAATCTTCTTCAACCTGCATTAAGTTGGTTTCCTCTGCGGTCTTACATACATCTATTTATCTATGGGTAGTTTCTGAAATCTATATTTCTCCAAAAAGTAGATGGTGACACGCTTCTAATAACAAATGGGGTATCGTATCTGTATCTGCCTCCTTTATCCGTTTCCGGCCATAATTTCTCAACATTTATTGGCCTTTCTTTGCAAAACCATTGACTTTTCGAGTGTTCTTGACCTGGTCGAGCTCTGTGAAGGTTCGCGCGATAGTACGTACCGAATCGACGAGGAGCACTGTAGTAAAACAATCAGCGCTGGCATTTTTTGGTGGAACAAGTTTGACTTACTGCCTGGAAAGATCATCCAGAGGAAATTCATGAAGAAATAGTAAAACCAAAAGTATAGAAATTCTGGTCTGGAATAATTGACTTCTTTGTGATAATAATCAAAAGTGTGAGTCGCATAATATAGAACAAGTCCGTAGATTTGTCCTACGGTTACAATGATTTGTAGGGGGTGTCGAAGTGGATGACGAGTTGCGATAAAGGCCGCAACGGTAAAGCACATAGGTCCCCATAAAAACTGTAGGGAATTCATAAGTATGCTATCAAATGTAATGAGCTTGGAATTGACTTACCGCTGTTACTGTTTCCATACAGAGGACGAAAGGATCGGATGTCAAATATCGACTATCGCTAAGGGCGTATTCCTTCCATAGTTGTCCCAACAATTGTTGGTCTTTGATAATTTCGGTGTGATGGAGCGAAAAGTATCCTAGAAGGATACGATTAGCCACTTTCTGTTGTAAATTGGCTCGTTATCGCATACCTTCGAAAAAGAGGTGGATTGCGCCAGCTATGGTAAAAGTTAGGAGACTGTGTAATAGCGTTGATAAGGAAGACTTACATAGAACCAGCCACCAGATCGCAGCTTTCTCAGTGCTTGGCAGATGAGGATATGATCTGGCAACAAAAGTGCGAGTACACAAGAACAATACTGCACAAGCACCAAAGAAAATGCTCAGGAGAGTAGGTACAGTCCATTCATTTGCCAGATAGCTCGCTATTTCCATCTCGAGGGGGTAATAGGGATGGTTGACGACAACTGCAGCTGCAGACTCAATCGAAGCGTTCTCCATTATAGAAGCCATTTTCCGTAAGAAGATCCAAAAATGCAATTCAGGATCCAAATTTGCGCAAGATGAGAGAATAAGGAGAAAGAAGACAGCGAGGAGGAGACGGGGGAAGATATGAGATAAATGCGAACAGCTAGTCAAGAAGTGAATTTGTAGCCAACACATGGACCAATGCCATGGACAATAATGTTTGAACAGACATGGAAATTGTACCGCGTCCCCATCAAGAGTTAAAAACCCGGTCTGAAGGGTCCTTTCAGGGGTTCAAGCAGGGTTTCTACATAATTTTGGATGCAACTTTCGTGGATTCGTGGAGCGGTAGCTTGAATGGGGCAATGCAATGAGGACGGGCTCAGCCAAGTTATTTATTTACTTGGCTATTAGCGCTATGGGTTTACCCCCCCAAGTTCCCGAGCAGATATGGATGGACGCAGTAGTTGGAAAGCATGCCTAGGTCTAGGGAGGTAGATAATAGATATAAAGGAGGGACAAGAGTAGGAAGGAGGAGGAAGGAGTAGGAGGATGAATTTGGACGTTTTCATGTGTGGTATCCATATAAAGAGAGAAACGAGGAGAGATCATTGGCGACGATGTAGATGTACGGAGAATGACGGGTGTATGATGTGTGATGTATGATGTATGATGTATTTTCATCCATATAATGTCTCTTTTGGATGGGTTGACAACGGATAGATGAATTAATGATTGATTATGATGGATTACGATTGATTGACTGAATGAATGAATGAAGATCATTTTCTATCTGTTCTGTTATTCCATGTGCATTTGCATTTGCATTGTGGTTCCAACATTGTTGTTCGCCTGTTCGCCCAAAGATAATGATTATGGATTCATTCCTTACTACTTTTTGAAGATCGTGTGTGGATGTTGGAAGAATACTACGAGACGAGACTACGAGACCACCAATGACTACCTAGGTAAATTCCCCCACCCAAGGGTTTATTTGTTACATAATCCCCACTCGAGATACATTTGGTGAGCGAGCCACTTTCCAGAATCATGGTGGAAAATGTGGAAAATTTTCCAATCTTCCACACATTCATATATCCATGAGCATTATCTGAACCCCCGGAAAGGCTTACTGGTTTAGGTTTAGTATATTATTATTTTGGATCTTGATTCTTGAGTAGACCAAGTCTATGTTGTGCTGATAATTTACAACCAATAGCTTTCCCGTAGATGAACGCGAAAGTTATGGGGGAGGTTTGATTCGTATTCTAGACTCGTCACCTGCTTCGCCGCACTGTGGAGTAGACTATGGGGTTGGATGGGTAGATAGGAGAATGCAGACAATACATTCATTCATTCAGATCGGATTTAGAATTCTCTTAGCTTGGAAATCGTGAATGCCGTTTAATTGTTTTTCGTGCCTTCTTTTGTGTTTCTAGCGTCCATTGATTAATGATGGAGTGGCACAACAACACTCAAGAGAAGGACACCAGATCACGATCAACGAGCTATGTGCTAAAAGCTCAGAAATCAGATCATTAATCATACAAAACGTGGGCCACTCACTGTCTTTGAATGCACATGTAGAGAGAATCATACAAAAGCCATCGAGATTTCCGATTATTGCACTTCCCACCACACAGTTGTGGCGTCAGGGGCCTCTCAATAAAAGCAGGGGATACTCCTTTGCGAGATCTCATGGCATGTCAATCAAACCGCTCTCCGCGACTCAGGGGTATTAGGTTTTGCGAAAATAAAAGGTATCGTCGAGCTCCTCACTCCCATCGCTCATGTCCATGTATGTGTTATCATTGTCAGCGGTATCATCCGCGTTGACGCGTTTGAAATGTCGCTTGCCATCGCCTTCAACGAGGTTTAAGGGCGACTCTTGTGTTTGACCGTAAATATCGACTCCCCTTGCCTCCGATTCATGCCAAGGGACCATTTCGGTATCCTCTAGTTTAGACAACGATAAGAGGATGCAGTCTTGCGAATCACTAAAGAAAATGGAAGGGGATACAGATGCTACGTTGAGCCACTTGATGATTGACTTTCCAATGATTTTACCCTCGGACATTTGCATGCCGAAATTAACAATTCTCGGAGCCTCCCAAGATGGGTCCCATAATTGAATTCGGCCCTTGTTATCTTCGCCCTCACATCTAACCATCAAAAGCTCGTTGACACTAGGATGGAAAGTCACCCTAGCTACCGGAGAGTGCATTATCAACAGTGCTCTAAGTGATCGTGACCCAACATCCCAAACCCAGACTGCTGATGGCATTTCCTCAACTTTGGTTGCTAGTAGTGTGCCAGAAATATCGAAAGCCATCATATTGGTGCCAGTCTTTGGCTCTGCAGTTGGAATGGCAGTTGCTTCTGGAGGCAATGTCGGCTGTTTTCCTCGAACAAATTCTCGAGTGAAACCTCCATTAGGAGATGGCGAAAATTGTTCAATCCAAATCTGAGAAGTTAGGGTTCGTTGTCTTGGGGTGGAAGGTAGGTTGACGTACGTGTAGCGTATCTGTAGGGTTTACAGAAGGTACGTGGGATAACAACATAGATTCCGAGAACGCTGGAGCAGCCAATAACACAACTTTCCGACTAAAATCGGAAATAGCAATGTGTGTTCCTGTCGGACTCCATTCGGTCATTTTGATTCCGGCACCTAAAGCAATATCCTTTTCTTCCTCGAGGATCGGGGTCGGGCCATTCCAAACCTTATACAAGTGACCATCGGCTGTATAAAGCAGCAACTTGTGGCCTTGGCTAGCAGATTCGCATATTGTTATCCATTTTCCATCTGGGCTCCAAGTTATCTCTTGAGCGTCGATCGTTTCTGGCAGCCATGATCTTATAACCTCCAAGCTTCCCAATTTGTGTATACTAATCACGTCTTTCCCACCAATTCTCGTCAATAGAGCCAAGTTTCCGGATCGCGGACGATGTGAGAATCCTTTTGCAGCAGTAGCAGGAGTGAAGAGCTTGGGAGAGGTAATATCCACTGACTTCGAAGTAGCCAGATTAAAGATGGTCAACTTCAAACCAAAATCTGAAAAGATACAGACTTCATCGTCGTTTCCTCCAAATGAAATGAAGGTCGTTTTCGTAGATCCTGAGGTCGGACTTGTAATCTTGGCTGAGAAGCGATTGTCACTTGGGGAAAATATGCGTATGACATCCGCAGACGCTACGAGTAGGCGATTGGAAGAGCACGACCATATGAATGATGTTATTGAGGCTGTGAGTTCAGGTGGAAGTGATATGGAGCGTATTATTTCAAGGGAGCGCGTCTCTCTGAATTGAAGTGCCGATGGTAGAATGGTCGCAATATATACTCCATTGGGACTCGGAAGAGATTGATTTGATGCTAAAGATATATGTTTGGGTTAATGTATGTCTTTCTTATAAGACGGAAGTAATTCAACTTTACACTTACATTTGAGAAGACGAGAGAATCGCATTGTGAATTGAATGGAGGTGAGTGCACCTTTGGTTTCTAACTTTCTACCTACTACCGAACACTACTACCTAAGCTCAAGCTTTGCACGAGGCACAATACCTAGAGATCTGCGGAAGCCCCGCACACAACAATACCGGTGCTACGATATAAGATTTTCTACTAGTCAGGCCAATAACGATAAGCTTTGGTGAGTCAGCTAGGCGAGCTAGGCTATCGTGCGGCAACTCGGAGAATGGCCGGAAATGGCCGGAAATGGCCGCTGCCCCTCCAGTTACAATTCGTCTTTACAAATCCATATGAGTCTCGACTATGCTGACAGACTAAAATCTTTGCAAAACCTGAGAATTGAGATGATGTGTCACTGCGACGATAAGGAAGCAAGACTATTTAATGCTCATGGAGACAGGTATAAGGTTACTTGAGGAGCGAAATGATTGAAGAGCATCCAACTGTTCTACGCCACCCGATATTGAAAGCCCAGAGATATCTTTGATCAAATATATCACCTCGTTCCTTCCAGAATATCTTGATATAGCGTCCCCTTTCTTCCAAGATGCTGTCCTTGAGAAGAGCTTTTCGAGAAAGTACACTCAGCAATGGCAGGCTCAACCTACTATCTCGGAACGCACACAAAGCACTATCCACTGCTGCTTCCTCAATTCAAGAGCTCCCCCAGCACGATTTACATTTGCGCGAAGACACCGAACCATCATTAAGCAAGACTTCAAAGAGAAGAGACGAACTCAAAAATGCCAAACCCTTTTCGTCCTTTCTTACCGATAATTTCCAAAGACAGCACGATTATCTTCGAATTTCAATCACAGAAAAATGCAATCTGCGATGCTTGTACTGTATGCCAGAAGAGGGTGTTCCGCAATCGCCACAGCCAGATCTTCTTACAACCCCAGAAATTGTACTTCTATCTTCTATATTTGTTTCCCAAGGGGTTTCGAAGATTCGTCTTACTGGTGGTGAGCCGACCGTTCGTCGCGATATCTTGCCTCTCATGCAACAGATTGGAGCTTTGCGATCTCATGGTCTGCGGGAGCTCTGCCTTACCACGAATGGATTAAACCTTGCAAGAAAGCTGGATAGCATGGTGGAAGCCGGTTTAACTGGAGTTAACTTAAGTCTGGATACTTTAGATCCATGGCAGTTTCAGATTATGACTCGAAGGAAAGGTTTTGAAGCTGTGATAAAAAGTATAGATAAGATACTACATATGAACAAATTAGGTGCTGGCATAAAGCTCAAGATCAATTGCGTTGTAATGCGTGGGGTTAATGAAAGAGAAATTATACCATTTGTCGAAATGGGCCGAGATAAAGACGTTGAAGTTAGGTTCATCGAGTATATGCCATTTGACGGCAACAAGTGGAGCCAAGGCAAAATGCTAAGCTACAAAGAAATGCTTGATATCATACGGCAGAAGTATCCGACACTTCGAAAAGTGGCAGATCACAAAAATGACACGAGTAAGACTTACGAGATTCCTGGGTTTGCGGGAAAGATGGGGTTTATCACAAGTATGACACACAATTTCTGTGGTACTTGCAACAGATTGAGAATCACGAGTGATGGCAACTTGAAGGTATGCTTATTTGGCAATGCTGAAGTGTCCTTGAGGGATATCTTGAGAAAATCAAATGGCAGCCAGCCAATTGACGAGCAAGCTTTTGAGGCAATGAAGCAAATAGAAATGGGTAGGAAACAGGGTCTTGGAGATGCTCATAACCCTCTTGGAAGCTCCTCTAATGAGAGAGAGTTGCTAGAAGTTATTGGCATGGCCGTGAGTCGAAAAAAGGAAAAACACGCCGGCATGGGCGAATTGGAAAACATGAAAAACAGACCCATGATCTTAATAGGTGGGTAGGTTTTATTTTCAATGGAGATAGGTGCGAACCACACGATGACATGAAATTATTTGCACATCGGATTGGCGTCAATTCAATACCCTCATGTATTTAATCAGTATCTTAAATTTTATATAGCTGCAAGTAAGAACCGGCGCTTCTGCAGTATAACACGTGTTTGAGACTGACGTCCAATTCAGGTGACAAATACTATTGTGGCCCAGAGGCACTCTTTCGAAACACGGGAGACCGGCCGGCAGGTCGATCCCAAAAGATTCCTCTAAACCTCCTGCCATTTAAACCTCCTTCTAGTTATGCACGTCTATACTCCAGCAAAGCTACCCCGGCTCAAATGAATAATATTGATAGGGAAATGGGGAAGTCTTTAACGAACAATGCATCAGATTCAACTCCCTCACAAGCACACAAACTTACTCACCTTACACAATCCGGCGATGCTCACATGGTTTCCATTTCCTCCAAACAACCAACGAAAAGAACTGCTGTTGCAGTCTGCAGTGTTCACTTCTCCAACAAAATAGCCATTCCACTCATCCGTGACAACCGAGCCAAGAAGGGCGATGTGCTGGGAGTTGCCCGTATCGCAGGAATTATGGCTGCCAAGAGAACTTCCGATTTGATACCTCTCTGTCACCCAATTGCTATTACACATGTCAACATTGACCTACAGATCTCACACGAGGATGGACGGGGCACAGAACCTTCATCTCCCGTTCCAAGTACGTCAATTCCATGGTCTGGCACAGGACAAGGCGATGGATATAAATGGCCGTCACCTATTCCAGAATCAGTTCCTTATAATGGGTTTGGAAGCGTGGAGGTCACGGCCACTGTGTCATGCGATGGAAAAACTGGCGTGGAAATGGAGGCACTTACAGCCGCTTCGACCGCGGCATTGACCATTTACGATATGTGCAAGGCTGTGGATAAGGGGATGCGAGTTGAGGGGTTGAGAGTAGTGAGGAAAGAGGGGGGGAAGAGCGGCACCTGGATAGAGGGCCATCATAATAGTGAGAAGTAGGGTACGAGTGAGCTAAGGCTGAGTCAACATGAAAAGACAACAGAAGACATTGGGCCTAATTATCTTTTGAAAATCAACTCAAACAAGCCACGGCTCTAATATTCTTAATTGATGGTTGGCTCTGACAATGACATGTGCCGCTCGGGAATGTGGAGTGTACAAACTATTGTTGACCTCTGTTAGAGGTCTTAAATGCTTCAAATTGTCAAAAATGTCGCAGTTCACGTGAATATGGATTTTAGAGGAAGATTAAAGGTTTGATTGAACTGTTCCATGACTCAAACCCCAGAAATTATGCATAATCATTCTATTTTGGATATAATCGTATCTGAGTGGCTGATGGGATGTTGTTTTAGAGCAATGCTTACTATTTCCCATCCAAATCAGCATTCTGGATCCTCCAATGCTACACAATTTTCTTCTTACTTCAAATCCCAAATCCTCTTCAAAATAAAAGTTGAACAGCAAATTTCCACATCGTTAGCAGTGCGACTCTGATTTACGAAATTTACCTAGCTCTGTGATACTTCTACCAATAACATATTTATGTCATTGGAAGTCGCAATTTAATGTTTTTAGCGATCCTTCGTTGAGGTAATCTATAGATTATAGCTACCTCAAGATCCCACAGAATGTAATCTCCCCGGAATCATGGGCATGCTTTTTTGCGCAGCATGTAACTTTCAAAGCCAAATCCCATACTGTGGCACTGTCTTTCGGTCATCATGCCATTGAAGTCAATACGTATAACTGGCTGTATCTGCCATTTTTTGAAACTCCAAGTTCAGCCCAATCTTTCTTTTCTTCCAGCATCTTGTCTTTTGGGAAGTTTTCCCTTTACGGTCCTTACCAGTTCATTTTTCTTGCATAAATTTTTTAGGGTTTGTAACGTTTTCTTATTCATATACCCATCATGAAGTTCTCACGCGCAGCTGCTCTTTCTCTCCTTTCTGGAATCGGGGCTGCATCTCCAGATGCTAACTGTTCTCCTGTCACAACCACAATCTATCAGCCCACTACTATAACTGTCACAGCACCTTCATTCGTAACCTCCACTGTTACTCTTGGACGAGGTGGAGGATATGGCGAGGCAGCGGAATCTGGTACAACAATATATCAGACTGTCACACTCGGAGGCGGATCTGCGCCCACACCAGTTACCATCACAGCACCTGCTCAAACTATCACAGTCAACAATGGAGGAACCGTTATTGGGGGAGGCTCCACTTCCACATCGACATCTTTGAAGGTGTTCAAAACTTCTACCCCTATTATAAGCGGAACAGGATCGCTTCTGGGAGCTCAGATCACACCCCTTCCCTCGGCCGGGGCTACTGGAGCCGTTACACAAGTAAACGTGATATCAGGGGTTTCCACAGTCCAAGTCTGTCCTACCGGTGCTACAACTTATGACTGCACAGAGGTTGTTTATGGTTCAGGTGGAGAAATCATTGTAGTTCAGATCATCACTGTTGATGTCACTGTAGATGTCTACGGTGAGGCCAGCACAGTTACAATAACTAAGATCGCCAGCGCCACTTCTACACCTAGTCTCCCACCTACACACTCGGAAAGTCTTCTCGGAACCAAGACTGGCAAAGCGACCTCTACTGGTAAGCCTACAGGACCACCATATTCATTTGGAAATGGAAGCGAACCTATCTATCCAACGGGTAGTATCAGAACAGGAACTAGTGTCTCACACAAACCCACTGGAACTGGAACTGGAACTGGAAAGCCAACCAAGCCAACGCACGTTATCTCAATTGGCCAAAATGGCACTTTCTCTTTCTCTCCCCAATATATTGATGCGGAGGAAGGAGATACCGTACGCTTCAGTTTCCACCCAACGAATCATACCGTAACTTCTTGTGATATTGCGGCTCCTTGCGTTATGAATGGCGTCTACGATTCGGGGTTCAAGCCCGTTTTGGCTAAAAACATGACTACATTTGTCGACTTCCCCGTTACAAACGCCACTAACCCACTGTTTTTTTTCAGGTATGTATCGGCCCGTTACAGATTCCATCACCCTCACTAATATCATCTTAGTCGCCAAAAGAATGAGTGTGAGTCAGGGATGGTGTTTGCTATCAATCCTAAATCGAAAACTCAATATGACGAGTTCGTATCTGCTGCCAAGGGTAAGAAGACCACCACTACAAGCCATGCACCGACTGGAACAGCATATTCGACCGGTACTGTTAGAGGCACAGGCCTTCCATATTCTCGCAATGGCACTTACTCATACGGACTTCCATCGGGCAGTGTCCGACCCACATCTGCGCACTCTGAGTTGGGCATTAGCGTGACCGGCTCATCAAAAGTACCTTTTCCTACTGGCGGATCAAACACAACTATTAGCACTGGGACTGGGGTACATCATACCGAGACGAGAACAGGATTCGCGCTATCATCGGGCACTTTTAAAACATCCGGCATTATCAAGCCTTCCGGCAGTATCAAGCCTTCCGGTAGTATCAAACCATCAGGTAGCATTCGCAGCTCCGGGCTTCCACACTCATCGGGATCCTTCAGACCAACTGGAAGTATTAGCGGCAGTGGCCATGCATCTTCAACGGGCAGCGCGAAGACAACTATCGTCTCAAGCAGCTCATCTTCAGTCACAAGCAAAACTAGCTCGTCGTCACACTCAACTACTAGCAGTTCAAGTTCGTCTTCACACTCAACCATCAGCAGTTCTAGTTCGACCATCACCACTACTTCTTCAATTCACGGTTATGTTCCCTACAGCTTCTCTACTCCTGTCGCTTCATATGTCGCTCAACCTTATCGAGCGTAAACTAAAGGTTCTATGGAAGTCATGAGGAGGATTGCATGTTCTGAGAGGTAAGAAGCTGAGTGGCGCGGGCGCTGGCGCAGACAGAATTGGATTTGATTGGTGTTACTTTCTTCTTTGGCCGTTGCCCTTGTATTTCGTGTATGCATTATGTAGAATTGATTTCGAAAATAAGGCTTTTGTTTATGCTGTACTACCAATGTATTTGTGACCTACCAGAATCCTCTCTCATGGTTTCGTTGTGCATATCCCGGTAATGCTGATTGTTGTCGATTAGGACAGCCACAGGCTTCAACTGCCATGAACAATTAGATATAATCAAATGATATGCATATCCCCACATTAACCAAAGATCGAAAATCTTGTGAATAAAGCAAATGATGTCAACATTCCTGGTTGCTCAATCTCCATCATTTCCCTGATACCCTCTCCTAATATCCTCAATCTTGAACAATATTCGAATTTCATATCGCTCAAATTGTCTATCAAATGGTAATGATACTAGAATCCTCAAGTACTCTAGATTAAGTGACCGCCAAAGTTGATAGATTGTTGAGTTTGAATCCCTGAAAATATTCATTTTGATCCTTCTAGTTGTCATCGATCAGAATTCAACCCTTGTCACTCTGTCTTTCTTCTGCATTGTCTCAAGCCAATGAAAACCTAGCAAAGTCATTCTGCATTTTATGTGTACTGATATCTATGACTATTGATAGATGGCTCTCCAAGGCCCTGATCGCTTCGGACTACATCCTATTGACCGACTCTGATACGTGACTACCCGTAAAACTGTTTCCTAAACTCCACCCCTCCAGAAAGTTCAAGTATGCTGTGTCCTTGCACAAGGAAGAAATTCTCGATACATTCTGTAGGGCTTAAAATTCATCGCATCAATATACGGACAATACATGCCAAGTTCACATCGTATCTAATCAAATCGTTTTGGCGTCTTCCATTGGAAACCCGTCAATTCGCTGCAAGTGAGCCATTTTTGATGTTACACATGCATGCACGCATGCATGCCTGGGATGAGAATCTTCGATCGATTGTACTTGGGTCTTCCCTGCATTTTCTCCTACATGCATGTATATCTCTCCTGTTCTTCAAGCTTTTCTAGAAAGTCATAGGGTCCACTATAGGTGTATGAATTTAAGTCTTGCGACCGGGCAAAATAGCCGAATATCCTACCCGCGATAATCGAGAAAGATTTCTAGAAACATAGATTTCGAAGTTGAATTCAGATTTATTCGATCGCTTCATACCCTCTGGATGGAGACATATTATAATTTTAGTATCCAAGCTATCACTGTCCTTCGGCCTCATTCATAAATGTGATCTTATGAATTTACTGAAGACCTAGAAAGTGCTCCGAACATTCTTCAGATTGTAAGGGAAGCTTTCACAGGACAATCTTTTTTAAAAGTGAGGGCCAAACATGTTATGCATATACGTTTGCCTTTGTGACTGCGTCTGCAGTCCCATGTTGCCATGTTGACAACCTGGTTCTTGTCATGGCTTGGTGGTGCCATGTAGAACCCTGAGTTCTGGTTTGGGTTGGTGCCTAGTCGCTCTATCTTGGTTGGGCCGTTGATTTAATAATATCCTAGATATCCACCAATCGCGGCATCACCGTACTTGCCGCAGTCAATGTAAAGCGTTGAAGTTAAACGGCAGATGTATCCTTAGTTACACAAAGAATATTTAGCTATACACCACCTGACTGAACCAGAGCGGGATTTTGAAAATTCAGTATCTATGTGAGCTTAACAATTCAAGATTTGTAGGAAAAGGGTTCTTGAGAATAGGGGCCGTTGCTAAGGATCTCTACATTTCCCCCAGTAATTTCTTTCCAGCTAAATTCGGGAACTCCAAATCAGTATCCTCAAAACCATTTCATAAGGGAAAGTTCAATATTCAGTATAAGTTGGAAAACTGGTATCCGAACATGTCGAAGGTCGGCTGCGCCACTCCAAATCCACTCATGTCGCAGAATCTGTGACAAGTAGCATGCCCTAGGCCTGTTTCAATAGCAGTTGCAACTTTCTTTTCCATCACCTTTATCTATTCTAGTTATCCAAGCCACCACACATTTCAAAGACTCATCTGCATTCGGGAAGCATGATAGAAATTGGGAGAAGACACACCAGTGAGATGGAAGTTCCTATTCATTCAGGGTCTTGCTACCCTAGAGATTTATATA